ACCTCCTCCTACGCTGCCCCTGCTGTCGTGGCCCCGCGGGCCTGGTGCAGCCCTGGCCTTGCGGGGAGGACCTGTCCTGACTGCCGGGGGTACTTACTGCCACGGGGCGAACAGTGGATGGGTCGGGGGCGCAGGTGAGCCGCAGGTAGTGCTTGGTGATGTCGGGGCAGGTGCCCACGATCTGCAGCTCCTGCCAGTCGGGGTCGGCCCCGCCACTCTCCAGGCTGCCCATGTGCAGCACCAGGGGCTCGAGGCGCAGGCGGCGGGAGTGGCCATGCTGGAAGCGCGCAGCCCGCTTCTGCTTCTTCAGCTCTCGCTCAGGGTCCTCACACTCCAGGGCCGCCATCTTCTTGCGGCTGCGCTTGGTGGGCGCCAGATCATGCCTGGGGGGGAGGAGGGGGCTGGTAAAGGGGGCAGGTGTCCAGCTGCCCCTCTTCCCCTGGTCTGAGCCACAACAGCGGTCGGCCACCTCCCTCTCTAGTGCTCCTCTCCCTGGGAGCCCCGATACTGGCCCCCCTCCCTGGCCACTCAAAGTCTCACCTCTTCCCACGCTGTGCCCTGCCTCGGCCCCGGTCCATGTGGGCTCCCCGGCCTCCCCGGCCCTTGGGGGGTGGGTTTCTGCGACCCACAGGGTGACACTCATTCCCTGAGTAGGAACTGTCAGAATCCGAGTGGGAGTCACTGCAAGGAGTAGCAGAAAGGTTAGGCCTGAAATGGCTCCTCCCCTCTGTCCCCCCCCACACCCCCCTTGGAGCCTTTGCACCTGCGGCGGAAGTGGCGGGTCGGGGACCGGGAGGAGGAGCGGGAGCGCGAGTCGGTGCTGGAGGAGGAGCTGTGGTCCTTCATGAAGACATTGCGGTTGCCGAACTTGGCGAAGCTGCTGCCCCGGGCTCGGCCAGCACCCCCAGCCCCGGGCGTCCCTCGCTGGGACTGGGCACCCCCGCCCCTTGTCGCTGAGCCTGCCCCCCTGGGAGGGTGAAGGCTGCTAGGGGCCTCCCACCGCTTCTTCTTGGGGCTCTCAGCCACAGGCTCCCGAGTCAGCCTGAGGATACAGCAGGGCAGGGCATCACCAACCCAGTACCCCCCAATGTCCCCAATGTCTGCCAACCTGTCCCGGGGGTACACGAGCTGGGAGGAAGGGCACTCACCAGGCGCCTCAGCTAGGACGATGAACCAGCAGGAGGCGAGCCCAAGGCTTTCTGTGTCTAGAGGCCCCTGAGCAGCACGCACCTCCCAGCCGAGGGTCTCCAAGTTCAGCGCCCAGGCTCCCTCCCCAGTGTCTCCCGCCCCGACTCACCCTGGAAGGGGCTCCCGGCTCCAGTCGATGGTGTAGGCCGAGCCGTCCTGGAGCCGGGCCTGCAGCACCTCCTTCAGCAGCTTCTCCGTCCGGTCCTTGTCCTCCTCTGACTCGCAGGCGGTGAAGCAGCGCTCCACATACTCCTTCATGTCCTGCGGCCAGTCGTCTGGCTTCCCGGACAGGCTCCCCCTGGCAAAGGGCAGGTGTGGATACCCGGTTGGGGGGCACCCCACGACCGGGAGAAGACCCTCAGCGCCACCCTCCCTGAGCGGACGCCTGTTCCCTCTCTTCACTTCCACACAGAGGGGCTGTGGCAGGGCCGGGGGTGGCCAGCACCTGTGGTTCTGGGCTTTCTCGGGGCTGGGCTGGGGGCCGAAGCTGCTGTGTTGGCTCTCTGAAGTAGAGCTGAAGCTCTGGCTGGAGACGGTAAAAGGCCGTTTCTGAATGTTGAACTTGAGACCACCAGTCCCAGGGGCTGCTGTAAGGACAGCAGAAGCCAGGGTTAGGCCCTTCCCCAGGCCCACCCAGGGCTGCCTCTCCCCAGGACCAGGAGAGGTGAAGGGCTCCGGCCCCAGGCAGCTGCACCCACACAGCCTTGGGAGGTCCCAACACCCAGAACTAAGGGCCTCGCACCCCACATGACTCACACCCAGGAGTCGTGTGAGGTCCCCACCCCCGAGCCCCTCTCCTCTCCACAGCCCCAGGCCGCTTACGTTTCATGCGGTTCCACAGCTGCTGGCCCTTCTTGGGCTTGGCAGGCTCAGGGTAGGTATGCTGCCCATAGGCCTGGCCCGAGGCGGGCCCCACCTGGCTGTGCTGGGTGGCTGGGGCTGTCCCAGGCTGGGGGCCGCTGCTCAGAGGATGAGCCCCGTGCGGGGGGTTGGAGGGCTGAGGGGGCTGGGCCGTCGGCAGTTGCTGGGGGGGGGCCTGGTAGGACATGCTCTCATCCATGCCAGGGACCGGGGGCTGTCGGAGGAAGTGGGCGCTGAGGGCAGGAGCACAGCGCCCCAGGCTGGCCCTCACTCTCCCCTCCGTCACGTCACTCAGCCCTCCACCCTCAAGACCGTCAGACACCCCACCACCTCGAGCCCTCAGAGTAACTCTCGGAGGTGTGGCTTCCTATTAATCCCTCTTTCCACAGCTAAGACTCAGGCTCAGACTTCAAGATACTTTCCCACAGCTCCCAGCAGCTGAGTGGCAGCTGCCGGTGTTTAAAACACCGAAGTGTGCCTCCCGGTGAGAGCTGCCCAACAGCACGTGCACCTGAGATCGTACCACGAGCTCGTCAAGACACGCACTCCAAGCACCCTGTGATAAAGTGACATCCCTTCCCACCTCACAGGACCAGCTGTGATGCCGCGATCACGTGACTTATAATTTCACCGTGGGGGTGGGGGTGGCGGCGGCTGGGATTCAAACCAACATCTACCCACCTCCCTGGCACTAGCTCCACGACTCCTCCAGGCTGCACACTAAGTGCAAGGCTAGACTGTGTGAGTGAGTGAGTGAAAGACTGTGTACACGTGCTTGAGGGAAAACACAGAAGAAAGGCTGCCACACTACAAAGTGCTCCCACCATCACCCTAGCACTCCAGCCCCCTGGCCTTACCCAAGCCCTAAACCCGGCCTAGTTTCAGAAACTGCTTGGCAGGAGGGAAAAACGGGTGGAGAGGAGCAGCCTAGCTCACTCAAGCGTCCCTGCTGCATCCCCTGCTCGGACACAACACGGAGCAGGACTAGGGCATTACCTGGTTGAGAGTCCCTTGGTGCTGGGGTGCGGACGGCTGCTGGGGTGTGGCTGAGCCGTAGGAACTGGCCATCCCATACTGGGAGGGGGAGCTGTAGCTCTGGTACATGCTCTGCCAGAGGCACAGGAAGGCATGGGTTAGCGGCAGGCCCCATCTCTCCCCTCACAGTCTAGACCTGCCTCTCCTGCTGCTTATGATCTGGGACCCGCTACCTCTCCCTCATTCCTCTGTCCCCTGTGCAAAGGCACCAAATTAGCTTACGCTAAAAAAAATTATAAAGTAAAACCTCAGTCTACCCCACATTCCATTCTATTCAATAACGACTTCCTTAGTCCAGCCCACCTAAACACAAAAGAACACAACGTAAGACAAAAAACCCAAGCGCTAACGAACTGCACTCAAAACACACACAGCCGTAGACATGCAACACAGCCAGCAGTGGGAAAGGAGGCCAAGCAGAGCTGCGGAGTGGCGGGGTGGGAACGTCACCCATCAGAGGACAGGGCTCTCTAAAGGCGCCGTCCAGGCGGCCCACGAGGGGCGAGGACGGGGCAAGCGTGGGAGCACGGGAAGAGGGGGCTGTGACGGAGGGGACCCGATGCGTGCTGAGCTGGAGGTGTCTCTGTGGCCACATGAGCACCAGGAGGGGAAAGGGTGGCCACAGAGGGACCTGGGAATTGACCTCGCGGGCCATCAGCTATTGAAGGGTTTTCAGCAGCCCCCTCGGCTGCGTTCAGCCCACCAGCCAGCGCCGGCCCCACGCCGCCGGCCCCGCCCCGTGGCGCGCTGGGCACTCACCACCGGGTAGTAGTAGCTGTACGGGTAGGCGTAGTTGTACTGCTGGTACCACTGGTAGTACTGCTGCTGCTGCAGGGCAGACGCCTCCGCCTGGGACACATACTGCGGGGAGGGGGCCACGCGCCGTCAGTGCTGGCAGCAGGAACCCCCGGGCCCCACGGGGCAGGGCTGCTTACTGGTGGTTAACTGCCAAGGGACGGAACTGGGTCCCCATCTCCCCAGAGAGCCACCACCTCTACCAGGGGACTCGGGCCCCTCAGGGACCTTGAGCACGTCTTTCTCTTTGGGCTGGATTCCCAAGGACCACACAGTGCCCTAGACTCAAGGAAACAGACCATGCCTCCCCAACCCAAGGGCTCCTAGAACATCTTCAGAGCACTCTGTCCTGAGATGAGTGGACACCCAGTGGGTACCCACTTGCCCCGGGCCCCCCATTTCCGCCCAGGCCCCATGCAGCCTTCTCACTTGTGCGCTGGCCACAGGCCCACTGCTGCCGGCCTTGGCGGAGCTGCCAGCGGCTCCCGCCTTGCTGATGCTGGCCAGGGCCTGGCGGGCCTTCTCCCACTCCGGGTTCTCATGTGTGGGAGTCTCCATGCCGTTCTCTCTGCCCGCCCCGGCCACCACGCTGTACTGAGAGGACCTGCAGAGCGGGGATGCCAAGTCAGTCCGTCCTCCCCACAGCACACGGCGGGCAACATGGGGGCAGGCAGACACCAAGGGTCAAACCCCAGCGCTCCCTCTCACCACCTCTTGGAGCCTAAGTTTTCTGACCTACAGGTAACATGCGGCCAGCCAGGTTTTGCTCCACAGTTTTCTGAGTGATCAATGTGACTGTCTACTCAAGGTACTTTCCCAGGTGCCTGATACACAACACTTGTTAAAACTCAAACAAAAAGATTACCAATATTCACAGAACATAACGCAGAACCTGATGCCCAGGAGGTCAAAATGTTTTATGAATCCATGAATTCTGTGAGATACCACTACAATCAGGTTATCATAGGCTGTCCCGTAATCACAGTTCACTGAATGAATCATCACAATTGTGTAAAGCAAGCACTGTACTATGAGAAACAAAAGCTAAGAGGAGCTCCTCATCCCCACCCCTACACCAGGGGCCGCTGCATCACTCCCCACACGTGCTGTGTAGGGGCCATCCAGGACAACACTGGATCTTGCTTCCTCTTGCCCTCTTCTCTTGCCCCTGTCCCTTTAGCTCCACTAACCAATCCGTGCTACGTTGATCACCCACGTTGGCCGCCATCTGGACCCTGGGGTGTAAGGGGTGGACCTCGGGAGCCAGGCTGCTTTTTCACTGTCTGCCAAAAAAAAAAAAAATGAGCTAGGGGGATTTAAAAAGGAGAAAGAAACATGTCATGAAGTAGGGAAAGGAAGTAGGTGGACTCAGGAGTAGCCAGACAGAAAAGGGGAGTCTGAGAAAGGAGGAGCCACTGGGGTAAACAATCTGAAGACAACTCCGAGTGCGGAATGAAAGGGCTACAGCCTGAGGGAAGGCCGCGGCCTCTGTGCAGTGTTCCAGGTGGAAAATGAAGGACTCGAACACAGGGAAGTCTGAAGGAATTTCCCAAAGGGAAAGAAAAGGATCTGAAACCCATATGAAGAAAGGGAAGAGTTCAAAAGAAACCCTGAGACAGACAGGAGAAGGATCAGAGGACAGGGTCGGGGGACCTCAGTCAAGAGGTAAGAAGGAAGCCAGCTTCTGAGAGGAAGCAGAAGAGATGACGCCCTAATGAGCAAGGGCTAAGTGAACCCGGAGACTGGGGAGACCTTGAGAGACTTCTGAGGGGAAGTCTGTAAAGAGGAAGCATCTGAGGATGTCTTGAGAGAAAACACTGGAGAATGGAGGAACAAAATCTGGGAGGAAAGGGGATTTCTGGAAGTTATCCCTGAAAGCAGGAAGAAGTTGAGGGTGTCAGAGAGGAACCAGAAACAAAGAAATGAATTCTTAGAAAACTCTTAAGAGACCGACTTCAGGAAAATCCCCAAAGAACAGAGACTAACCCTAAGCGAGGTTCCTAGAAGCAGGGGTAGGCCTGGGAGAAAGAAGAGGCAACTGCCTCGGGTGGGGGTCTGGAGAGAAAGCTTTGGGGATGCCTGAAGAAGCCCAAATTATCTTTAGGAAGTTAAGCGATTGGGGGGAGAGAAACGCAAGAAAGCGAAGGGGTGTTTGGGGGCAAGGATTGTGCGGGGGACGGCGAGGGGGACTAGACTTCAGGGGATAATTGAGAAGTGTAGGTGGATTCAAAGGCGAGTCCCGCTGGAGAACCCGAAAGTCCCACAAGAAGTGGGAGAACAGAAACAAAGGTCCGGAGCTGGGAAGAGCCCTAGACAAGAAAGGTCTTAAAGAGAAGACAGAACGGAGCCGGGGATGGGGCGTGGGGGTAGAGGGTCACGAGTAGGGGTAGTGGGAGGGGGGCGGGACAGGAAAGAGATTGGTGGCAAGGTGTAGGGGACCCTGGAGGTTTCTAGGCGGGTCTGAAGGGCGGAGAGGGGCACCGAGCCGTACCGCAGGCCCGGGGAAGGCATAGGAGGGCGCCCGGTGGAGGAAGAGACCGCCCAGATCCTGGTCTCTGGCCCCGGAGCCACCGCCCCGGCCGCGCCGCGTGCGCACCACGTCCTCAGGGATAGAAAGCTGCACAAGGACCGCCCGTCGCCTGGGGCAACGTCGTCCTCCCGCTGGAACGGCGGATCAATGGGGGTCGAAGAACGGAGTACGCGGGGCCCAGGAATTCCGAGGGCGGGGGCGGAGAGCGGAGGCCGACGGCGCAGGCGCGAAGGTGCGCAGCTGCGCTCCCCACCCCTCATGCGCAAGCGCAGTGGCCTGTGCCCGCCACACCCTGCCGTCGCTCTCGCGCGGCGTCCGTTGGTGCGACTGCCGCAAAGGCCTCGGGGTCCGCGGGGCCTAAGGCCGAAAAGAAACGCCGTCTCCGCCCGTCCGCCGCCTACCCGCCGCCGCTATCCACACTCACCTCGGCCGCACGACCCCGAATGCACCAACCACGGCTTAAGGCGATAGCAACACGGCAGCAGGACTGCTCGCGAGCCGGCTGACTCTCGTCTTCCTTGCGCTTCTACGTCCTGACCGCGGCGTCTTTACGTCACGCGGAGGCCTCGCCCCGCCTCCCTCGACCCTGGACAGCCAGTAGACGCCGCGAGTTCAACTTGAGCCCGCCCTCCAGCCTACGCAATGACGCAGTGGGAATTTTAGTGGAAGCCGGAAGACTGGGTGGGGATGGTAGCCCCGAGGGGCCACGCGCGGCAGGGTTCGCAAGTACAGAGCCTGAAAGGGCACTGATGTCTGGCTGAGGAATTGGGGCCATCTCCGTAAATAAACCTTCCTTCAAACTCTTTGCAAGTGACCCTTTGAGTGTGCCAACAGTTTCCAAACAGGGCTCTTATAAAATTAAGCAGTCCAGTTCAGGGACCGGTCACCGTAATCATCACAGTAGGTGGTATTTGAGAAGCAGCAATTTCCTTCCAATCTTATATTACTGTAAATTTTTTTGCTGATAACTGCGGATCATTTTGTTACTGTTAGCACTGCTCACCTTTTCCCATCTTTTTACTCTTTTTGCCCATTAAACTTTTTGTTTCTTAGAATAATGTTAGGCTTACAAAAATGTTGCAAAGATGTGTAGTGTCCTGCCTACCCTACACTCAGTTTCCCCTAATGCTATCGTCTGACATTCATGTAGTATGTGTGTCAAAACTGAGACACCAACATTGGCACGTTACTGTTAACTGCAGACTTTATTTGAATTTCGCCACTTTCCCCACTAATGTCTCCTTTATGTACCGGAGTCCGATCCAGGGTACCCCATTGCGTTTAGTAACCCTTTGCTTTTAAAGGGATGGATTTCTGGTCAACAGCATATAGTTGGATCTTTCTTTTTACCCAAGTGTACAACCTCTGTCTTTTAAAATAGGTGTTTGTAACTCTATATATTTTTAGTCTTTCTTATTTTTAAATCTTTTCAGGGGGTAACTAGGTTTACTTATTTATTTTTAATGGAGGTACTGGGGATTGAACCCAGGACCTTGAGCATGCTAAGCAAGTGCTCTTCCCCGGAGCTATACCCTTCCCCTATAATTGTATTTTAATGTGACTATTGGTATGGTTATCTTTAAATCTGTTGTCTTGAGGGGAGGATATAGCTCAAGTGGCACATGCTTAGCATGCATGAGGTCCTAGGTTCAACCCCCAGTACCTCCATTAAAAAATAATAATAACTAAATAAACAAACCTAATTACCTCCCCCTCCAAAAAATAGAGCAGGGTTCAGTAAATGTTAAAAAAATAATTAAAAAAATTTAAAAATCTATTGTCATGTTGTTTGGTTTCTATTTGTTCCATCTTTGTTCCCCTTTTCCTCTTTTTCTGCCTTCTTTTGCTGCCTACTTTTCATTTTGAGCCTTCTTTAAAAAAATAGACTTTGTTTTTTGGAGCAGTTTTAGGGGGAGCCTTTGGGAGGTGCTTTGCCTCAATTCCCCTCCCCTGTCCCACGGTCAGAAACTCATGACCATAGGCTATGGCGATTTCAGGGGTCACTTTGATGTCCATCTATCAGGGGTCACTCTCCCTCCTCCTTCCTTGCCTGATGTCGTCTTGGGAACCACAGTTTCACGTATTTGATCTGGCTTTTTGGCTGTTTCAGGAAGGAGAGCGAATCCAGTCCCTGTTACTCCATCTTGTTCAGAAGGCGAAGTCCTCGTATGTATCATTTTAAAATAAAAGTAGATTTACCTTTTGTAAAGGTCAGGGAAAATGTTTTGTCTTGGTTAGGGCTTCCTAATTAAAGCTCACTCCCAGGTCCCTTGGCAGGAGATCACATCTCAGGGAACTTTGTGAATATCTGGGCGTGGACCCAGAGTCGCTAGAGGGCAGCACTGGAGAGCAGAGTGGCCAGAGCAGCAGGGCTCGCCCAGGGTCAGACAGCTCTGGGGTCCTGAGAAGAACGTGAGTCCATGCAGGTGGCCCCAGTGCCGCTCACTGAGAACCGCGGTCCATTTCTCTTTCCCAGCTTCAGACCCACACAAAGAAGGCTTCGATGAACTTTCCTTGCAGTGTGCGAGATGGACATGATGAGCGAGCATGCAGCGGTTCCCCCCTTGCAGGCCCCACACTGGACTCCAGACACCTGGCTCCCCGGGCTCACAAGCCCCGAGCTGGAAACCCTCGGGGCTGTTTCTGTATTTTGGGATTCAGGGTTTCTCAGGCTTTCTAGGGAGAACGTGGTTTCCATTCCACAGAGCACACCTTCCCTCAGGAGCCTGCACAGCCCTGGGGAGCAGTTTCTACAGAGGACTGGCTGAACGTTCCCACAGGCAGGGAGACGGTTTGTAAGTAACCACACGCCAGGTCAGGCCAGGCTTTGCCGTCCAGTGAGTTAGGGGAAGAGTTCAGGTCTAACAGGGTTCTTTGGATTTTGGAATCGCTGTCTTTGACTCCCCTCTGATGGATGTCAAAGATGGCAGGCGTGGTCCAACAAGTCCAGCGACCACCTGCGTCCGTCTGGTGGTCAGGAACACGCCTGGGCCCTTAGCCCTGGCCCCTCTGCATTCGTCCACTTGGCTACCATTGTCTGTCACCCCCGCCTCAAATCTCTCCTCTCTCAGGTTTTCTCCTGAAAGTCCAAACCCAGCCGGGAGCTGCCGGGCTCCAGGGAGCCCCGCTGCTCGGAGATTTATTGGGCTTTTCCTTCTGCGAACTTGTTTCCAGAGGTCGGCCCATCCGAGTATTGCTGCAGCCACAGATGGATTCCCCAGAGTAGGACTGTCGGTCAGAGGGTCTACACAGCTTGGATTTAACACGCATGAGCACATTATTTTTTTTCACAGGATTGCAGTTCATCCTTGGGGGCAGTGTGTGAATTGTCCCTCCACATCCTTGCCAGCAGAGAATATTAGCATGCCTTTAATTTTTTTGATAACTGGGAATATTAGCAACTCCTTTAATTTTTTTTTTTTGATGGAAGAAAAGAAGAGTTTCTGGCTGTTTCAAAGTACACTTCCTAATTATTTGGGTTTGAGTGCCTTTTGGTCTGTCTGCTGGCACTGGGGTTTTCATTCATTGAATGTTCATCTTAGTGTCTTGTTTTTGAATAGGGCTGTCTCTTTCTTATTTGTGGAAGCTTTGTAGATTATGCATACATATTAATTACCTGTTTCTTTACACTATGTATTTTTAAAAAAAAATTTCCCCCAGACTATCAATTTGCCTCTTGACTTTGTGGTATTTTTTTCATTCCACAATTTGCCAAATAAGGTATCTTTCCTTTGTCTTTAGGCTATCTTGCTTAAAATCCTTTCCTTCAAACATGTATGGTATACAACATACAAAAGTCTCTTTTCTCTTGAAATACCTGTCCCCTTACTTGTCTACGTTTAGATTTTTTACCCATATCAGACGTAGACTGTCTTCTTCCAGATGGAAAGCTAATCATGTCAGCATTGCTTTGGAACTGGTCCTTTTCACCCTGACTTTAAGTCTGTCTTCTGTCACACACACACACACACACACACACACACACACACACACACACACACTCACACACACACACAGATCTATTTCTAGGCTCTCTCTTCTGCTCCAGGGATAGCTGTCTCTTCCTGCGTCAGGACACGTGTGCTGCTTTTAGACTGGGGAGAGGGGGTGGTGAAGGGGATTTTTTCTTTTTTTAAGAGCAATCCTTCTTAACTGCTGCAGAGCCCAGACAAGAGCAGAAATACCTGGCAGCCAGGAGGCCAGGGCGGGAGCAGAGGTGAAGGGGTCTCCGCCTCCCAACCACGAGGCCAGACGTGGGAAGGGAAAAAAGAAGGACCCAGCTGCTTGTAAAATAAAGTCTTCCCTTTTATTTCAAATCAACCCATTCCCAAGTAGGTGCCGCACATAGAGATCAGGGCCCTAACCCACTGGGGTGCGGCGGACGGGGCAGTCACATCCCTTCAGGGGACGTGGCTGGTGGCCAGGGGTGAGGGGGTGCAGGGGCTGGCTGTGTGCCCCCTCCCCGGCCAGCCTCGGGCCCTGGCCTGCCCCCTCAGCATACTTCCAGGGCCAAGGAGATGCAGAGGGGGCAGGGCGGGGAGACAGTCCTGTTTAAGGTGTCCATGGCCAGGGTGCTGTTAGTGGTGGGAGCCCAGTCAGGCTGGGTCAGTGGGGTCTTCTCCAGCAGCGGAGGAAGGAACTGCGGAGAGAGGCAGAGGCAGGACCAGATGGAGGCAGGAGGGCCGCCAGGGAGCCCAGTGGAAGGGAGAGGAGAGCAGAGGCGAGCTCTGGGAGCTGGGATGCCACTCCGAATGCTCACCTGAGACGGGGAACAGGCTCCAGCCTGGCCTGGAAGAGGGGCTCAGATAGATGACTGCCACTGCACGAAGCGCTTGGATTCCTGCAGGGAGATTTGGGGCGGGAGGAGGGCATGAGGCGGAAATCTTGCTTTGCAGTGCAGACCCCCAGCCCCAGAGGTCCAGCCCCAGCCCTTCCTCCCGCAGACCCAGAGTCCAGTACCTGAGGGTTGAAAGGGTCGTCATCATCTGTGTCATCGTAGTCGTCACTGGGGTGTGACAGGGGGAGTGGCAGAGAGGCAGGATGGGGTAGCCATCAGGAGGCTGCCCCCCAACAGTGGCTGGAGGGTTGTCCCCTCCCACCCCTGCCCCAGGACCCCGCCCCGCCCCTCCTGACCTGGGTGGGAAGAGGGCCCAGGCTCGGGGCAGGCTGCAGAGGGCGGCGGCCAGGGCCCCCGCGGACAAGAGGGAGAAGAGCAGCAGGAAGAGCAGGCCCTCCAGGGCGTCCTCGCACAGGCCCCGCAGGGCCGCGCCGTAATCCTGGGGGGGCGGGGGGACGGGGAGGGCGTCAGCGGGCGATACACATCTGGCTGTGCAACGCTGAACAAGACACTCCGCCTCTCTGTGCCTCAGTTTCCTCCCCTGTCATCTGTGCTCAGCACAGGGCCTGGCCCACAGGAAGCTCAGCGCACAGCAGGGGCTGTGGTCGCTGTCCTCAGCACACCCTACAGCAGGAACCCACACCCAGCCATCACAGCAGCTCAGCCTGGATCCAGTGCCGGGCTTCCCAGTCTGAACATGACTGATGCTGGGACGAGATCACGTGTGGGTGGGGGCACCCTGTGCACTGCAGGGAATTGAACAGCATCCCTGGTCTCCACCCAGTAGATGCTAGTAGCACCCCCTCCCCCACCTGTGACACCCAAACGTGTCTCCACACATTGCCAAAGACCCCCTGGGGCAAAATCACTGGCTTAGAGCAACACAGAGAACAGGGCTTAGAAGCACAATGAGCTTGGAACTGCACCCTGCATGGAAAGCACACTCAGTAGACGCCAGCTGGCATTACTGTCATCCCTGCAAATCAGCAGAACCACCGTTTCCTGGACGCTCAGCTCTGATTCATTCAGCATGGACTGGCCAGGGGCCTGCTCTCAGCCAGGCACTGTTCCAAAGACCAGGGAAACTTCAGTAACTGAGCCCCGGAAGGTCATTTCAGACAAGAATGAGCTGCTGAGAGAGGAGGTTCAGAAAGCAGTCCTGGGGCCCCCACAGCAGCGATGGCGCCAACAGGATGGAGCGGGGAACACCAAGACGTTAATCCGCCCAGGGCTCACTGCAGGGTTTTAAGCAGAGGAGGAAGTTGATCAGATTGTGTGGAAAAGGCTCAGCGGGCTACTGGCTGCTGTGGGGAGGACGGAAGGCAGGGGACAGGGGAAAAGCTCTGTCCCCGCAGGGCCGCAGGCAAGGACCAGGGCCGCGGCGGTAACAGTATGAGCTGTGCTGGGGGTCCAGATGGGCCTCGGGAGAAGGGCCGTCAGAATTTGTTGGAGGAGTGGTTGTGGAGGACAAGGACAGGAGGCAAAAAGGATATTCCTAGGTTTCTGGGGAGAGGGGAGGAGTGCCACTGACCCCCCTGGGGAGGGGTCTGTCAGAGCAACAGGGAGGTCTGCTTTGACCAGATCAGGCACATATACAATGTCTATCCTCCGAACAGCCCAGCAAGGTGGGTATCAATTCTCACACTGCTGCCTTTTCCAGTGGCTGAAAGTTAAAGCCCAGAGAGGGCAAGGCTCTTGCCCAGAGTCACACAGCCTGGAAGGGGCAGAGCTGGGATTGGAGCGAGGTCTGTCAGGCTACAAAGCCCACCTTCCTTCCACTTCATCCCTGACATCCTTCATCCTGATTTTAATCTACAGGGACCCGGAGGAGGAGGCCCAGACAGGGGAAACTGAGGCCCGAGGTTAAATGGTGCATCAGGGAGAGTAGAGACCTGACCGACACTCTGCCTTCCTTCCTTTCTTTCACAATGACTCTTGGGAACTGTAATCCAGCCCCACGTCTGCCTGGACCATAGAGAAATCGTGGGCCTCAGTCTGCCCTTGAATAAAAGAAGAGGATCCCCTTCAAGGGTGCCCTAGCTCTTCTCAGGCGGTCTCTGATTCTGAGTGTTGGTTCAGTGTCTGCGCCCCCCACCCCAGCCCCCTTGTCAGAGTGCCAGTTTCAGAAGCTCTGGGGGCAGTGGGAGCCAAGGAAGGGTTGTGGACCAGCTCAGATCCTTGCTATGGGACAGATCGGTCCCTCTGGGTAGGACTGCCAGATCACACACACAATGCCCAATTAGATTTGAATATCAGATGCCCAACTGAAAAAATTGTTAGGACAAGTTTCGCCCCCTTAGGGCATGGGACATACTTATAGTAAAGAGGTATTTGTTGTTTGCAGAACCTGGCAGCCCTAGTCTAGAGGCTGTGGGGGGACAGACCAGAGAGGAAGGAGGCATATCTCCTCCCCCAGGGGAGAGAGGGAGCCTGAGCCTTGAGGGAGGAGATGCAGGGTGAGAAAGACATTCAGGAAGCAGAAGGGACAGGGCTGGGTGACTGCCTGGCTGTGGGGGCTTGGGGTTCAAGGATGCTGTGTGAGGTGCAGCCTCCACGGTGTGCACAATCTTGGGTGACCTCACCTTCCAAGTCTGTTCTCTGGGGCAATACGAGGGGTTCCTCTTCGATAGCGCTACTAATGAGGGCTCAGGGAGCCGCCACCGGCGAAAGCCCGCAGAGAGCCCACAGAGAGCCCGCAGAGGCCTTGTGTACACGAGGGGTTACAAGGGGGGACTAGTTTTCTTTTCGACCCTCATGACCGCCCAGGAAAGCAGGTATCATCTTCCTCATTTCATAGGCGAGGAAGACCAAGATGCAGGGCATTCACCAAGCCAAGACTGGACCTAACCTGTGGGACACCAGACACCCTCTTGGGTGCCCCGCCTACCCCTGCCTTGGCGCGATCACAGCAGACACGACACATGAGCTTTACAGGTATTCACCCCTGGAATCCTGGTTCTGTGAGTGAGGAAACTGAGGCACAGAGGAGTTAGTGACTTGCCTGAGGTCTGGCCCCCAGGCAGTCTTGCTCCAGAATTCAGTAAGCTGCGACCAAAGGAGGAGGGAGGGAGGGAGGGAGGAGAGGGGAAAGAAGGAATATGGATGCTAGATGGGTAGACAGTGACAGAGAACAGATGATAAATGACAGAGATTTCTCGGGGGCAATGGGAGCAAGACTAGAGGGGTCTGAGAAGAAGTTCTAGGCAGAAGCTCTCCTGGGAGAAGAATTTGGGGAAGAGGATGCGGTCACCTTGTGCAGGCCGCGACAGTGCAGCAGTGCCACCAACTGGTGGAAGTTTCCTTCTGTCACATTCATTGTCTCCTCCAAGGACAGCAGAGGCTTCTGCGGTGGGAGGGGCTTGTTATCCCAGTACCCTTCAAGCCCCGCCCCTCCCACAGCTTGCTCACCATGGCCCCGCCCACAACCAGGCCCTCCTAAAGCCCCGCCCACAAGGGCCCGCCCACATCCACCGACCCGCCCCTTTCCGCGGGCCCCGCCCACAGGTCCTGTCCGCGTCCCGCCCACCGACCTGCGCGGAGGGGAACTGGGGGACAGCTTCTCGCTCCAAGCCCTGCAGCTGGGAATGGATGTTGGCCAGAGCTCGCTGGGACAGAGTCAGTCTCTGCAGGAAGACAGAGGAGGGAGGTGGACCTAGTGGTTGATGTCCCCACCCCACTCTCCTCCCTGGGGACACAGGACTGGGGCCCCTGGCACTTTCATCCTCCCCCAGGACGCCTAGATCTAGGCCCCAGCCCCGCCCTCCTCCAACCGGTTCCCTTGCCCGCAGCCCTAACCTGTTGAAAGGGGTTGGAGACGGCCTGGTTGCAGAGGAAATAATAGTTCAGGATGTCTGAAGCGGCAGGGGAAGAGGGGAAGAGGGGGAGGCTATGAGCCTGAGCCCTGGGGCCTCCCTGGGGAAAGATCGGAGTGTGCAGGACCCTGTCTTTCCACACTCAGGGCCAGGGGCCCCCTCAGCTCAGGACCCTCTTGTGGTCCCAGTAGCCACACATTCTGAGTCTGGCAACCCTCCCAGCCCTAATCCCTTCTGCTCCAGCGACAGCCAAAACATGCTGATCCACACACTCTCAGGAAAGCTCTGCCTCTGCCATCCCCCCCCCCGGCCATGACTAAACTGTGCTCCCCCCAACTTTTCCCAAGTGGCCTCCTGTCCCTCAGGTCCATCTCCCACCCCCCAACCCTCTTCTGACTCCAGCATCTTTATCCCTCCCTCTTTTCCAGCCCACTAGGGGATGTGTTGAGAGCTTCTGCAGAACTGGACAGGGCATGCCACCCCACCCCACCCCACCCCAGGCAGGACTGGGCAGACAGGCCTGAGGCTCCAGGGCCTGCACTGGGCGATGCGATCACCTGAGCCCAGCCCGGTCTCCTCCTGGGTCAGGTTCAGGATGTAGGTGTCAGGACTGGAGCAGAAGTCGCTGAGGCCCTGAAAGGGGCAACAGGAAAGGGGGCTCAGGACAGAAACTGCCCCAATTCCACACTCCTACAGGATTCAGTGCCCCCCCAGCCCCTCCTCCCTCAGACCCAGGGGTCCAGGCCCCCAGCCCCTCCTCCCTCAGGCCCAGGGGTCCAAGTCTCCAGTTTCCAGCCTCTCAGAACCTAGGAAACTGACCCCAAACCTCAGAACCTGTGATCCTGGCCCCCAGGTCTTTCCTCTCAGGACCCAAGGCGTTTAATCCCATCCTGCCTTAGGACCCAGGAGCTAGGGGCCTTCAGCCCCCTTGAGTCTTGGAGCTCTGGGGCCCGGCCCCCAATACTCACCACGGCTGTGGCTGCCTCCAGGCCTAGGGAGCCCCAGCTCAGGACAAGAACCAGGAGACTCATCACTGTCATCCTACAGACAGGGAGGAGGGATTGGAACGGGGGTCTGGGGTTCTTAATAGCCTATCTCGCCTCTTCCCTTCCTCCATCCCAAATCCTATCACTGCCCCACCCTCCCCCCAACCAACCTGTGGAGCCAAGAGGATAACAATTAGGGGCAGGGAGGTCGTGGGGGCCGAGTTGTGGACCTGTGGTTGTTGACGTCAAACTGAACATCTGGCCCCGCTGGTGGGTAGGGAGTGGGGGGAGGCTGTGAGGGTGAGAAGGGCCCTGGGCTGGCAGGATCTAGCCCAGGTCGGCGCCCTACCCCTGCTCCAGGCTCTGGGTCGGGGGGCAGCTGCCCACCTCTGAGCTCCGTTTCCCTCTGCTTTGAATTCTTCAGGGCTTGCTTGCTCCCAGGTTCACCCATGGCTTGGTCAGCCTCCTGCTCAGCCCAGACTCCTCCTCTCAGGAGCAGAGACAGCTCCAGGGCTGAAATCACCCCCAGTTTTTCTCTGGGGATGGGATTTGCGAGGGGAGTGGGCTCAGCATTGGAGGGCCCATGGAAGGCTGGACCTGACCTGCCAGCACACGTCACCTTCTCTAAGCCTCAGGGGGACCTGGATGGGAAGGCACGAGGCCCTCCCACCCCAGGAAAGGCGTGGGGGTGGCGGTGGGCACCAGCGTGGCCCCAGGGCCAGGGAGAAGGCAAGGACTCTTCCAAGTGGGATAGGCTGGCCTGAGTGGAATCCCAGCTCCAGCACTTCCTGGCTGTGCAGCCCTGGGCAAGTGGCCCAACCTCTCTGAGCACCAGTCTCCCTTTCTGTTAAACCAGGAGAAGGGAATGGCCTCCTCCTAGCATTGGTGTGAGGGTTCCAGAAAAGCATCGGGCATATCAAGTGAGCCTGTAAAGTAAACGTGTGGTCCTTGATTCTGCCATGCCACTTAAGGGCTGCGGGAACTCCGCCCCGGGCGCCTTCTGCCCCAGGGCTCTTATCTGCCAGAGAGGTGTCTGACAGGCATCTCCAGAGGGTGGTCTGGCCACTGAACGGGTAAGTGAGCACCGCCATCCTCAGCACCAGCATTACTGCTATTGCTTTTCTAGGATTTTGGTGTGCTTCCTGCTGTGAGGATGGCCTGTTTCCTGCCCCCACACGTCCTGGGCTGCTCTGGGTCTGATTTCTTTCTACGTGCTCGGGGGCCCTGCCCAGGCGGTTTGCAGGGCAAGGGATAAAACCAGCGTGAGCCTGGGAAGAGCACGGTGAGACTTCGTACCGCGACGTGTGCCTACGAGGATCGTGGGTGTGCCACCTCCAGGAAGTCCACCCAGACTTACACGATCACCAGCCACTTGCTCTGTTTTGCCAGGCCCAGGAGTGTAAAGAGGCAGACCAGGAGCTCCAGGAGCAGCAGGAGGACATAGGCTAGCCACCTGGGGAGGGGGTGACAGAGATGAGGTCGAAACAGCAAATCCAGCCTTTGGGAGCCCAGAATCCCCGATCAGGACTCGGCAGAGGGCGAGGCACCGCCGCACTCTCTGTCTGGCCATGTGACCTCCTTGATGCCCAGTCTCCAAAGCACGGCCAAGCTCATCTGTGAGATCGGTGCACTGGGAGGTGGGCCACTATGCCCATTTGGAGCACAGGTCCAGGTGCAGAGCATCTGTGACCACACCCTACTGGACCACGCGGGAGCCCTGTGACTGGCAAATGATTTGGCCTCTCAGAGCCCCAGTCCCCCAGCCCCACCCTGGAGAGTGGAGGGACTTACTCCCGGGCAGGCACCCAGCATCACAGTGCACAACGGAAGGGCTCTGTGTGCGCAGGCAGACCGCCTGGGTGGCAATGCCAGCCCCTCCGCTTCCTGCCTGCGGTAACTTTGCCTCCTGTGCCTCGGCTTCCCCACCAGTAACTCGGGGAGAACAACAGTTCCTCCTTCCAATGGCTGTCGTGAGGTCGATGGGCAAGCACCGAGGGGAGGGCCAAGCCTGTGGATGCACTTAAGTATCAGCTTGAGCACGAATCAGGGACCTTTATATCTTACTTAAGAATTCAGCCTTAGTTATCGGTCTGTTCACTCTGACTGGAGAGGAGGACGCACATGAGGCCACCGCACAGCGCCTGGCACATAGTAACTCCTCAGTAAACAGCACCATTCTCAGTGGCCCCCACTTGTCAGAGTGTTAAAGGAACTGCTACCCTCCTCTGCAGCAGCCTCTGCTTGGACCTCCATGGGGTTCACTGTCCCTCCTTTCCCGGACTCCTGGAGGGTCCGGCTCTCCTGGGAAGGGGAAGCTGGGCGCAGTGGCTCCAGCTGACCTCCAGACCTTCACTCGCACTTCCATCAGGAGCAGGTGGCACTTCTGTCCTAAGCCTCCATGACCTCCTCCATCAAAGCTCTCCCCCTGAGGACCCCAATCTCCTTCCAGGAAACTGGTCACATTCCTTGAAGGACTCCCGAGTGCCAGGCACTGTCTTATGGGTGCATCCAGAAGATAATTCCTGGTGATTGTGGGCCTTCCTCCAGCCCACCTGGAAGGGAGCTGAGGCCCAGTGCTTGAATCCCTGGGTTTGGCACAACCCAGAACTTGGATTCACTGGGACCCAAACTTGTCTGATGGCCCATGGGAGTGTCCTTGCTGTGGACTGCTTCAGCCCTGGTCTGTCTCACCCTGGAGCACAGAATCCGGGACCCAGTCTTCCGCATCTCTGCCCCCAGGCCTGGTCAGCACCCTCAGGTGTCAGATGAACAAAGGAAATGCTTCCTAGTGGATGATGCAATGAGGACTCCATCATGTTGGCTGCTGGGATGGATGGCTGTCCCTGACGTCTGCATAACTTATCCCCTCCCCTCCTTCAAATGTCACCTTCTCTATGTAGCCTTCCAGGATTACCTCCCACACCAAAAACTACCAGCCTCTGTCCCCAGATTATATCGCCGCGCCCCCACCCTGTTCCCCTCTCCTGCCTAATTTTCTCCAGAACTCTTGCCACTCACCTCCTTACAATGTTTAACACATGCCTTTGTTTCTTAATGCCCCCCTCCCGCTGCAAGACAGGCAGGAATCACTGTCTGTTTTGTTCATTGCTCCGTCTTATGAAACCTAATATTTTTTTTTTTTTTAGCAGAGGCTCTTTAATGGGCTCTGGTGGCCCAGCCCTATACCCACAACTTCACTCCAGGGTCGGGGGGAGGGGTGTGGGGAAACACAGGAAAACAAAACCAGACTTGCGGGGTCAGGAGTGGCTTTTCAATTGGTGGGCGGGGGCGGGAGGAATGGTCCTAGGGTCTTCGGAGGGCAGTGGGGACCTCAGCACTGGGGGCACAGCAGTTGGGGGATGCACCCTGGGGTCTGAGGGGTGAACCTCGGATGGACCCCAGGAACTGGTGGACGGGCCCCGGGGGTCGGGGTGAACCACAACAGGTGGTGGTGAGTGGACCCTGGGGGCCTGGGGGTGATCCCCAGCAGATGGTGGAGGACAGACTCCCAGGGCTGGAGGGTGGACTCCGGACCTGGGGGATGCACCCCAGATCTAAAACCTACATTTTATAGACACCTGTAGAATGTGTGCCAGTCGCCGCTGTAAGTACTTAACAGATACTGACTTATCAGGGCCTCCGAGATTCAGTGAGGGCACCATTACTCATTATTCCCATGGGGCACGGATGGGGACACGGAGGCCCAGAGCTGGCATGTAACCGGTGTCAGGTCACGTGGTGAGGGAGCAGCGACTGGCTCGGGCGCTTGCGCTCCTGACAACGTGGGCGTGCCTCTCTCTGGCTGGAAGGCGCACTGAATGAATACCTGTCAGATGGACCGCTGAGCGCGTGAACCAGTCAGGCTGGGAGCGAGCAGATGAAGGGCAAGAGTGAGCCGATGAATGGCTGAGTCAAGGGATGAATGAACGAGTAAATGAGTGAAGAAACCAAGGGAGGGAGGAAGTGGGTGCACGCGCGGGGGGCACGGCCCCCGAGGCCTGCCCTCCTGCAGCAGGGCTGCTCCTCCTCTCATCGTCAACCCTTAGAACAGAGAATCCTTTGCTGTGGGCTGTCCTGTGCCCTGCAGGATGCTCAGCTGGCATCTCTCGTCTCCACCCACCAGGTGCCAGTGGCACCACCCTCCCCCTCCGTTGTGACACCCAATGTCCCAGACATCACCCGATGTCCCCTGGGGGAACTATCACCCAGGCAGGGGATCCCTGCTGCCCCGGGCAGGAAGAGTGGTCACCCACCTGTACTCCTCCACAAAGGACACCTCTTCGGCCACTTGCAAGGGGCTCAGGGGCACTCCCCGCCAGAAGGCCAGCCCCTGGAGCTGCTGGGCCACGGCTTCTGCCTGTCGCCGAGCCCCGCGGGTGGCAGCCACCAGCTCTGTGCGCTGTGTGAGCACCTCCTCCAGGGTGGTCAGCTCTGTCCTCACAGCCTCGCCCAGCCTCTCCACTGTCTCCAGCACCTGGGCACAGGGGTGGGTCTGGAGTCAGGGGAGGGTGTTCTCTGGGGGACCAGGGGTTGGGGGACAGGGTTGTGAAGCAGGAGTGAGCAGAGGCAGGTATCTGAGGTCCGGGTGCTAGGGCATCTGAGGACTGAGGAAGAGGAGTGGGCTCTGCGGTCCAGCTCATGCAGTCCTCTGGCTTCTAACAGGAGCGTGGGGAGGTCAGTGGCTTGAGCCCTGCGGATAGATTTTAGCCCCAGGACTGAGATTAAGTCTGGGATTCTAGGTCTGACGTTGACATCTGCCTTTCGGAGACTGGGGTCTCACGTCTGGATTCCATGGTCCAGGGGCTGCAACTGGATGTGAGGTCTGAGGTCAGGCTGGGTCTCAGCCCAGGGTCTGGAATCCCGGGGCTAGGGGTCAGAGTGAGGCCTCTCATCTGAGTTCTGACTCTCAGTCCTGAGGTCTCTGGCCTTGTACTTGGGCCAAGGATCAGATCTCTGGGTCTGACCCGAGGGCAGGGGCTGAGGTCCCCGGTGTTTGGTCACCGAGTGGTTTGGGCTGTGAGCTGTGGTCCAGGGCTGGGGCTGCAAGTGTGTTTGGGGTCTAGGTTTGAGTCCCGAGGTCTAGATCTGGGTAGAGGTTTTGAGGGTGTCGTGTGTGAGGCCCTGATTTGCAGTTAGGGTTGCGGGTTGAGTGTACAGTCTGAGGTCTGCAAGTTTAAACCTGACATTCTGAGTCTAGAGTCTTGGCTCTGAGTTTAGATCACATTTCCCTGAGAGGAGGCCATTTGCCCAGGTGTGGGGAACCTGTCTGGGTGTGGATCTGGGGTCTGGCCAGTGCCTGGCCCCTCACCAGGTGGTCAATGGCGGTGAGTGTGTGGTTGGCATGCTGCAGTGCAGAGCTGAGCTGGGACACCCCATCACTGGTCTCGCTGTTGCCATAGAAACCGATGCCAATGCCAGCGCTGAGAGGAGGAGGGAAGGGAAATCACAAGCGGTCCTGGGACCCGAGGGGCCGCCACCCCCCCCCCCCACCTCCTCACATACCCAGTGCAAGTCTCCCATCCCATTGGCCCAGCCCATCGTGGGAAAGGAACGTCTACAGCCTGGCCCCCACCGGTTGCCAAGGTAACTGGGAAGGTCTCACTCCCCCGGCCCTGGACGTCATTGTGATGCTAATAGTGGGTGGAGTGGCGGAGGGGAGGGGGCCCCCAGATTTAACTCGCACCTCCCCAAAGCCGAATCCGGCCCCAGGAGAAGTCCTCTCCCCTAGTGACTGCTGGCCCCAGGCCCATCCCCTGCATCCTCTCCCCAAGCATCCAGGGTCCTCAGTACCTGTGCTCTCAGGAGCCAGCCATCCCCTCCCCCGCCCCCTGCAGGTTCCTAGGAGCGCAGGCTCCCAGCCACCGTCTCCTGGGGGGCCCCGAACCTGGAGCTCCCAGCCTTCCCCCACCCCCGGGACGCAAGCGTCTGGACAGCTGGGAGGGAAACAAGGGAGTGCGGGCCGACTGGCCAGAAGCCGGGCACCCCCGCCCCTCCCCCTCGGTTGCCAGCACAGAGCTCCATTGTGGGTTCTGAATACAGTCCCCCCACCACCCCACGACTTCGCTTCGCAACACGCTGTGTCCCTCCGCGGAGGGGGCCAAGGCTGGCCGGGGCGGAGGGCTCCCGGACGCCCTCACGGTTCCCAGCCCCGGGGCTGCGCAGGCCCCCACCCCCAGCCCTGGGATCCGACGCCGGCCGCAGCGTC